TAATATTAGTGCCTTTAATCCTTTTATGTTTTGATCGAATTAAATATATAATAACGAATTTATTAAAGATACTTATACGCATACTATTCTCATAAATTCTGGGGCAAATAAAAAATTTGTTCGTTCTTTAAATTTCTTCGGCATCATCTAAAGTCACTTAACTCGTCGGAAATCACGTCATTATTTTCGGAACTTCAGTCTAGAGATGTCGATGTACCGTTATTACATATAAATTGGTATCACAATGACAGTATAGTACATTTGTTAATGGTGGTTCTGATGAATAAACGTTCGGATGCCGAAATGTTATTGGAAGACAATGCCACTAAGAATAATCATACGATATTTTTCAATGAACTATGCATGTATATAAATGTTAGCTCTCCACCTCGATATAAGAATAGAAGGGGACACTTTAAGAACAGTTAACCTAGTGATCGACAATCATTTGATAAACATACATATCATGACGTTTTTGTTTACAAAAATTAAATAGACTGGCCTAAACTATGCCCTTAACCTAACCCTAACCTTGGCTGGATAATAGTCATGTGATATTGTGATGATCACTGGGTTAACTCTTAAATCTTTCCGCCTGCTCTCTAAACTTTTTCATAAAGAATAATCGTCTATCCTAAATATTCCTTTCATGATGCTCTCCCAACTAAGCTAACACCATAAAATACGGACGCAAATACCCGGTGTGATGCAATTTTTAACCTAGTAAATAATTAAAAATCACATGCAAATATAAATAGTTTTTTAAAGACTTGATCTACATTATTTGTCACGCTGGGTACTCACGTTTGTATTTTATAATTTTCAGAGAGTTGGTTTTTTTATAGGACAAAACCGAAGAGATTTCGGAAAACAAGCAAATTTTTAGTTCGTCTCAAAATTTACTAGAACAGCTGTAAATCTTAAAAATTTTAAATGTTGAACTGAAAAATTTGCCACGAAAAAGTCTGTCAAAATTTAATCCAACCAACAAAAGGAAGACGAATACGTTAACGTGATAGCCGTAGGGATTCAGCAATATGTCACATTAAATGTGGCTAACGTACTAATTTGAAAAGAGTGATAATTCTAGGAGCGATTATAGTTTTTATACTTCTTGCTTCATGTTTTCCAGATATGGCGATTCATGAAAACTCCAAATTTGTCAAAAATAGTGTCTTATCGATGTTAGTTGTCACTATCAGATGTCTATTGATTAAAAATTGATGCAGTGAACCTAAAATTTATATCAGTTGAATGCAATTAACTTCAAAAAATTTAAGGTTTTTGTATTAAATGTTTTGTTAATTTTTGCATCTTTCATTTTAAGTTCCTTGAAGAAATTTTTCTGTATTTAAAGATGATACATGCTTATTCAAATTTTATATTTCTTTAATAATGTATTTACGTACAAATTAATATAGATGTAGCATATTACAACAATGCAATAAAAAAAAAAACATATCCAAATAGATACAAGTTTGATTCGAATACATTTTTCACTTCCCTACAACTATCCACTTCGTTACGCTTCGATCTCGATAATTTCTCCGTTATTATTACTTTTCTTTTCATCATTTTTCTCATTTTCCTTATTTTTATCTCCCTTTTCATTTTTTCCCTCTCCTTCCTTTTTAATAAACAAATTAAGTATCGATTGAACAGTTGTAAGAAAAATCATAAAGGAAGTTAAACATAGTGTAAGGAACGGAATAATGCTATAAGTCACAATTAATTTAAAATATAAAATCTATTCAAATTAAAACAATGTTTGATTAATAAATTATTAATTAATGTAATTAATGAATAAACAAATAAACAATCAACAAACAAAAACTTTACCTGAGTAATTAGTTGTGGAATACTTTTAAGTAAAATATCAGCAAAACCTCTATATTTAGCTGTAGCCTCAAAATCTTTACCAAACATTTCTTTAAGTTGGTTTTGGTTTATAAGTAGCAAAGTTTCACTATTATATAATGATAAAACAATAAGTATCAAATTCATAATCTTTTTTCCATTGAATCCCCCTTTGCACATAATATAGGTAAACACTGTGATATTTATTATTAGTGGAGTAATCCAGAAGATTTTACTATTTAAAAATAATATGGTTAACTTAGATATAAAAATTGATTTAATTTTCAATAAATGAAATTGATAAAACACCTTGACAAGCTGAATACCGGGTAATTGTTAACATCTTGAAATGAGAATATACTTGATAAACTTGTATGAGAGGCTGTGAATAATCCAGCTGTGAATGTATTCAACATTTGTTTGTATTGGTCAGGTACAGGCTATCAAAAATATTCACAGTAAAAGATTTTATTATTTAAAATATTAATAAATAAGTCATTCGAAAAAAAATTGAGAAAATTTTTACCTTATTGGATCTAGATGCTAAGTAAAGTACAGCGTTCGCTGCTGCTGCAGATACAAAAGGAATAATTTTGTCTTTATAATCACCCAGTATACTATTTGGCCTTTGAAAACCAAAAGTTTCATCTAAATCGTTTGTAACACCATCTGAAAATCTGGTAACTTTCTTATTTATGATCATATCATCTATATCTGAGACAATCGCTGGAACTGTATAATTTTTATCTAGCTTTGGATTTGTTTTATTTACACGGATAGAAAATTGAATATTTTGCATAGAATAACGAGGGGATCCATATGTAGATAGAAGTTCAGGTCGGCATGGTAACTTTGTAGCAATATCTTGTAATAGACTTTTAAAGTATTGTGTTTGATTGGCTTCAGCAAGATTGTTAAATGCTTTTGATGCCACTACAGTGAGACGAGCATCATAGATTGCAGCTTCCTCTATAAAGAAGAACAAGAATTAGTGATTTGAAAATTTTAAAGATCCTATGTTAATTTATTACCTGAAGGACGTGCTTTTTTTACTAAATTATATAAAAAGATTAATTGAATTATATGAAAATAAACTAAAGAAATAAGATGAAATATAAAAAAAAAAAACCGAAAATATTACTTGATTTGTACATCACAATATCTTCATCAATTCCTGTTAAAGGTTCATAGAGCTTTTCATCTCTGACAAAGTTAGCATCCATCTGTACGTAATAAGTTTCACCGTATTGATTGAATGTGCTGCCAATAATGTCTATACTGACAATCGTATGATTATCATTTATAATTCTAACATAATCCTTCATTGATGCAGAAATTTTTTGCCTCATTGTTTTGTCAGAATCTTTGTAAATAGAGATATAGCCGTTTGACAAAATAACAGGATTTAAAAAGGTAATGGTTAAAGAATTTGTAGTTGCATTGATAGTGCCACTACTATTCGTAAGTGTTGTATTGATGGGTGGTGGATCAATTTTAATTACTTGAAGATTACCGTAACCACTATCTAAATATTCCCATTACAAAATATACAAAATAACAAATTGTTAGATACTTAATAAAGATGTATTAAAAACAGATTAATGTAATAAAGAAACATATCACGACCAGGTATAACCGTAGGTAATGGAATCTTGTACAGAGACCACGAAGTCAGTGTAGTGGATGACGCGAGTATAAAAGTATTATTATTTCTCATAATTCCATTTGCGGCATTGAGATTATTCTGATTAATATTATTATAAAGAGCATTTGCTGCATATCTATTTGTAGCATAAGGTCCTAATTGTCCTTTTTTGTTATTGTCTTCATCATAATTCCAAATATAATAATCATATTTTTGATTCATGGCATACAATATATAACCACCGAATGCCATTGCTTGCATTCCAAGGCCTTGAGATATGATCCCAGTTGTGCTAAGGTCAGGCATATCGGATAATAAATCAATCTTCGTCACTGATGCGGATGTTAAAAATTTAACTTTTATATAGGTCGATTGCGTTATATTAAGACTAATTTCAATTATACATATATAACCGATACTACTAGGTGCTATATCACAATAAAGTCCAATAAAAGTTAAATTGGGTAAAGTTAATTGATATAGAAGAACTTGGTCATTTGAGACTGACTGATTATAAGGTATAATGGTCATATACAATCCGGCTAGTGTGGTTAGTGATAAAGTGTTGTTCGCTGCCAATGTCGAGTTGACATTCAGTATTGCATAGTCGCCAGTGATAGTGGCTATTGTCGTGATCATGTAAGAAGCATTAGAACTAATAGCATGCGGGTCAACTATGGAAATATTATTACTTTTCAGTTTTGATATAATTCCTGAATCACTATATAGTATAAGTATAGTAAATATTATTAGTTATTATCGTTATGAAATAAAATAGTTAGAACAATATTAATGATAACTAAATTACACTGAATATTGCTGCCATTCTGTCCAATCTGAATAATACGGGATCGTATTGTAGTAAATTACTGTAGTACTGAATCTAAAAAATCCTTGTTTCTTGTTTATATTTAACTGAATTATACTTCGTGGACTCCAAATCGGAGTTATAGAAGAATTGCCATTAGGATAGTAACTGTAAGACGGACCATAATGCACTTCACTATTGATTTGCAAAATAATAGTTCGATATTGTAATGTTAATCTTAAATAATCATAAAATTTTACAAATAAAAATCACTGTCACACCTTATATTTCTACCATTCCAATCAATGACATTTCCCCACTCTTCATAAGTTTTAGGATTATTTAAATCTGGGGCTTTCACATAATTTATTAGAATATACGGTTTATATAAAGGAAATATCGAAATAGGATTCACTGGATTCCCATATGAATCATTAAATATACAATAATTTATAGGATCAAGGTTCAACTGGGGATTAATTTCTTTAATGCTTCCATCTAATTGAATTAATCTTAGCCGTAATACTTGCTCTAACTTCTGTCCCGTGCAATTATATGATTGCACTGGATTTCCTGTTCCTTGTTTGTCTTGTGAAATTTCTCGTGCAATACTGACAAGAATTGTTCCGTCATCATAAGTTTGAACGTCTATTATTTGCGGTGGACTAAGAGGGTATGAGGTACCTGATATACTCTCTGGATATGTAATGTAGTCAGAGGAAGTTTCTGAATTCGTCGATATTATGAGAATGCAAAGAGATGTCAAAAATAAACATTGGTAAATAAATTTGCAAGGATTACTAGTTAATTTCATCATTGGTTACTATTAATTAGTTACTGCTAATTTTTTTAGAAATTTAAGAAATTTTAACATTTGAGAGTCAAATATAATGGCGAGCCGCTATTTATAGATGAATTAAAATATGTACAAAAATTTACGTGAATTTTTCACAATATGAAACTGTTGTATTTAAGAAATTTTTTAATTTAATATAGCCAGTCCAGTTTCTAAACGTATTTATAAAAGGTCATTTTATCACATACAACTATTTATTTTTATATTGTTAGAATTGATTTTATCCACTGATAATTTATGATATGCCATAGTTTCATTTGCTTGGATAATATCGGGTTATCATTTAAACAAAAAAGTAGGGTGTAACCCATTATTACGTAATATATATATTTATTTATAATGATTCGTTTATTATGCCGGATGTTTCAAAAATTCCAATACATGGTCCAATTTTTAAGTGACCTTATATAGAGATCGTACTGCTTATTTATTTGCATAAATAATCATCATGATTTTTATTTACAAGGTCACTTTAAAAAAAGGACCGTGTATTGGAACTTATGAAACATCCGGATATCATATTGTTAAAATTAATGTGATAGGGTGATTAGAATTAATATTAAAGTTTCTGATTCATAATTAGATTAGTGACGTATTTGGTTTGAAATAAGTTATTTATAAATCCTACTTTTTTATATAATTTAACATCAGAAAAATCCATCTATTTCGCTTTCTGATTTCGGAGTTCAGATAGAAATAGGATTTTAAACTCTACAATAAGTTATTCTGAATCACCCTGATATATATAATTTAGCCAATTAAAAATCTAGTTCGTAACTTATCATAATTCAGGTTTTATATGCACACTTCACACGACGCTCATTTAGTAAAACTCTCTATTACAGTATTATAACTACCAAATCAAAATTTGATACTCAGCCAGGGTCTCGTAACCGGGCAGGTAACGAAATTTTTGTCACATTATAAATAGAATTAATTAATTTTTTTTTGATTTAACATAGTGTATCCTGGCATACTTTAATCAAAATTTTAATTATAGTATAAAATTTTTATTGCGTAAAAAAAAGAAAAGCCATGTTCGTTCGAAATTATTCAGTCCCTTTATTATCTAATTTTATTATAACATGAAATGTTCATAAATTTCGAATTATTACCAATAAAAAGTATTTTTGTTTCGTTTATGGCAGGTTTTTGAAAAGTTTTTTTTTATCTGGTTCAAAATTGTTTATCGCTACCGTCTTTTAAGGGTTGAAATTTGATTCAGTGTTTTCCAACGATTTTTTTTGCTGCAGAGATTATTAGACCTTTCAAGAAGGTCAACCGCCTACACCAGAATAGTATCAATATTAGATACTTCTATTATTATGCTTTATAATTAATCAATAAAAAATAATAATAAACCAACATCATAAAATTCTTTATTAATATTGTTCGATATTTTTAAATCAGTTTCATGTTTCTTCATTTGATTCGTCATATTCTACAACATTTATCGAGTAATAATTATTAATATAAGATATACAGTATATAAATTTATGTTTCTATGTATCTATCTATCGCCTTTCATACATAGTCTTACAATTTCAATTGCTATTAATTTGTATGTGATTTATTGATGTTGCTTCCTAATTTGTCAATTCTATTTGAAATTATAATTACATTAAAATCCATTCATGCTTCTTATTCTTCAATATTGTCAATAAGTTTTTAATAAACTACATCTTTAAGATCTTCAGAAATCCATATTCTGCCCATTTGTCAACGAAGTGACAGGGTGATCATTATTACGAAATTAGATGACTTTATCAGATCACATGTGCATTTCATTGTTTTAGCCTTTTTAGAAGGCAATAAAATTATTGAGACTTCTTGTCAAATGCAGATAAATTCCTTTTTTTTTTTGTGATTGCATATAACTGTTGTTTGAGGAGCGAATAATGAGAAGTAAGGGGGTTTTCAGATGTTACCCTGTATGATATCAGCTGGGCGATTGGGATTGTTCGATAGACTGAAGGTATTTAACAATTGCCGGGTTAAAGAGGTATCTTTATTTTCGCTATCGTTCATCTTGTGATGAAGGCAGCTTAGTCGTCCTCACTCCTATACATCGTGCAATGACTTGCTCTGGTTGGTGATCTAATGGGCGCAGATGAGTAGTAATCGAGGTTTCTTGGCATGACAAGAGATTGATTGATACGATAACAGTTTTAGTGTTATGAATGCATCGAATTGATTTTGGTCTAGGTTAATTGTTTTGTATTATTTTTTCCTGGGGAATAGAAATTATAGCAGAGGTTACAGCACATGGATGGCCCGAAGGGTCATTCACGTACTATGATCATCGGTAACCTCTGCTATAATTCCCCCCCAGGAAATAATAAATAATCCCCAAGAGCGTGTCACTAGATGTTAATCGGACTACCATACTATTATTTTTACTCATATTCCATATTTATATTTGTATTGTGCTTTACTGACTTTTGGGCTTCGCTTTATTTTTTTTCTTTACATCATTTTTACTTTTTTTATCGACTTT